ACAGCTTCTTGCCTGTCTCCTAGAATGGGACCTATATAGACAAATACTTGAAGAAAAAATCCGTACAAGCAGCACCACTACATGATGTACAGCTCTACTGACATAACGACTAAAGAACTGTCTCAGTTCATTGAGAAGAACATGATCCACTGATGGACGACCACACACACACACACTCTCTCTCTCTCTCTCGTATGGAGCCTTTTGGCCTAGGGCAGTGATTCTCAACATGTTTACCATTGTGGGCTGTATATGCAGCTTTCTGTGTTGTGTGGGCCGCATCCACACAATGTATATACTACATGTATGGCCCGGAGGATGTCACATGGACTTCAGCTGTGTGCTTGATTGGGCTACAAGCAGCCCATGGGTTGAGAACCACTGGCCTGGGGGCTTCTGTATTGGTGAAGAAACTGAGTGGCTGTTGCGGACATTCTGCCCTCTATACTGTCATCAGAGGGACTCAAGTACATGCAGCATATGTGCTCAGCCTCAACAGTCATTACCAACCAAAAGAATCTGATTTCCTGTGTGGGCAAAATATTTCAAAGAACCACAGTTACTGTAAGGTAACTAACTAACCATTTTTTGTTTGAAATAAAATTAGACTATTTGACAATGCCATCTTTGGTTCATGATGTATAGCATAACTTAACAGCTTTAACCAGAAAGTTTTTGAATGCACAAATCTTGGATGGTTTTCATTTGTGAGGTTCTTGGAGAAAAGTAATGCCTTGGGTTAAAAAAATAGAAAGTGAGATGCCTGTAGTTAACCTATTAAATCCATACGTAGCTTTTTAAGTGGCCTGATTTTCCCACAACTCCCATTAGTGTATGTATCTCCCCGCAGTTCTTTAAATTCTGTGAATAGTCATTGTTACAGTATAGGAATACTAAATATTGCAGTTTAGAAGAACTGTGGTATTCATATTCTGGTTTTCTGATCTACATACTGTATTTATAATGTCCTGCATCATTTTCTGCATGGCACTCCCAACACTTACTGTACATCTTGTCAAGGTACAAAATTAATGTAATATTATTGATGTTCATTTCAACTATGAAATCTTGAAATGTGTGTTTTTGTAAGTTTTTATTTTATGGCAGGAATCACAGTCCATTTTGGAAAGCTGGAGTTAGTTTATTTTATATTTGTCAAAAGTATACTAGGGAGAAGCAGAAAATTAAATTCTTCCATCCTAATGTTATAAATAAAAAGGAATTTCTTCACTAGTGTTCATTGGCAGTTGACAGTGTTCATTAAAGATTTAAGATTATGCTCCGAAAGCAGGAAGTACAGATGTTAAAGTTCACTTTCCACTGAAGACAGTTGTGCATATTTAACAGTAGTTTGCAGCACAAGGAGGAGGTTAATGCTTTTTTCCTATTTCATCCACTTAAGCGGTCTTGGAATTGTGGCACAATAAATATTAGCTGTCTTTTTTTAGCATCCAATTGAGGCTTTATTAAAGGATTTCTAAACTAAACTATGTCAGAAAATATGTTATCACCAACTCATGGAAAAAAACCAGAAAAAACAAAAGACGTGCTCTAGAACACCATCAGCCATTGGGTTGTCCTGTGCATTTTATGTCAGCTGTTTAGATTGTGAGCTTCTTGAGGTTGGGACCATGTCTTCCTTTTCGTCTTTTGCAATGCTGGGCTTACTATTGACACTAATCATATTAATGGTAAACCTTTGCTTTGCTTAGATAAGAGTCTAATTTTACAGGCATGGTGTTTTACAGATCATATTAATGTTGACAATTCAGAACTGAAGAATTAATATTTTTAGCAATCTAGTCAAATGGGAATAGTGTGAAGCTTATTAGAAATTAATGGCTCGTCGCTTGATATGATTGAATCTTTCTAGGTCAGAAAGATTGATGTTTATGAATTTTCTTTTATAAACATAATTGGTTTCTTCTTAAAGTACACAGTATCTTATCAGTGGGCTTATCCAATACACTATCTTATTTGTCACGTAGGAGTGTCTGTTGAAAATATTATATAAAAAAATCTGCTTACAACCTCTCTTGACTGATGATTGGCTCAGTAAATGTGAACCTGCAATGTGCTGACCTCTGTAACTGAATTTCAGTTTCTTGTGCTCCTTTGTTGTGTTGATTAAAAATCACTGATGATGACATATGTTTAGATGTCTTTCAGATGCTAAAATTGTTTTCAGGTGTGCAGGACCTTGAGTGCTCTTGCACTGTGTGGGTAACATGCTAGTCTCATTCTATTGACTCTGGGACATATGTGGTGTGAAATATTAAACTGAATAGGTACACACTTGTGTAAGGGAGGGCTCCTTTTTCTTATACTTTTTAAGGTAATTGGGTCTTTGGTTTACAGAAAATATATGCAAGAAACTTATTTTTAGAATTTTCTTTTATATTAAAATGGGGGATAACATCCAGGCCAATGGATTGTAACATTGCATACTGTTTATATGCAGAGTGCTATTGGTACTGCTTTTGTCTATCTTGCCATATTACTTCATCTTGATCCTATAAATTGAAAGTTGGCAGTAGAATAAGTGCTACCAATATACTTAATTTAAGAATGAAGGATTGACAAATAAATTCTGCCATAATCTGAAGCCAATTTTTCCAGTATCCTAAATGGTCTGGCTATAATGGATAATCTGTTGATTCATTACATTTAAAGATTTGATTACTTGCATGATGCAGAGATTAGAGTAAAGTTGAAAATGAGAGAATGTCTGACACATTTTACATAAGCTTTTAAAAGTGGGGGGAGGCACATTTTGCATGGTGTGTATAAACGCCAGTTTTAAATCTGCAAGCAATGTTATAGTGGATAAATGGGAAAAATATAACTTTGGGCAGCTTGATTCCAAACTTTATTTAGGTCCAAAATTGAATGCTGTATTTATTTCTTTTACACATACGGGTCTTGACACTTGACCCAGATATTGATTTAGGTTATAGAAAGAGGCAAGAGTAGCTGTTGTTGTTATGGAATAATTGAAGTTAATAATCTAAATTTCTTTTCTTTTTTTAGGTTTAACTATAGATCAACACATCACCTTGCATCCCATGGGTTTTATGAATTTTTAAATTGGTTTGATGAAAGAGCATGGTATCCACTGGGAAGAATAGTAGGTGGAACTGTAAGTACGAGAATGATCACTTATTGGTGAATTTAAAAAATTCAGGATAACTACAAGTAAAATTACCACATGGGTTAAAGGAGAAACTAAATGTAATGTGCTCTTAATTGCCGTAATAGCTACAATAAGAATTTCAGTTACTACTAATACAGTGTCAGCTTTATACCTCTAGTTCAGACAACTTACTGTCAATCAATAGCCAAACCTGAATAGTATATGCTTATATGTCCACTTTCTGTAACAGTAATTGAGACTATTATGACTTGTTCACAATCCTGTTGTCTTGTAGCATGTATCATTACAGACCTACCTCTTTGATGTAATGGATGACTATGCATTTTTCAATTGAAGCCAAGAGTAATGCTTGGCTTTTTCCTGTTTATGGCCAAGGTTAGAGCCACTTAAAAAAAATATAATAGATATTTGAGTCTGTAGAAAATGATATTGGTCTGCACTAGGCAAATACTTTTCTTTTAGATTAAAAATAATGGGGGAAATGTAAAGATTTTCTAAGGAATATAAAAAATAAATGAGATCAAATTAATGTGGATGCAAAAGTAGAAGAAAAAATTAAATGACATCAAATTGTGGTACAATGAAATGTCATTGATTTAAGGAAGACTGAGATTAGAAAGGTGTAAAGAGTTCTAATGACAAACAAATGTGTTGAAAACCCATAGAAGCACCTTTTCTTCAGTAATAAGAGAATAAATACCATTTAAATGGATTTACAGAGTGTTATGCAATAAATTAAATGGTGATTTTATTTTTAAACAAAACATTTTAATAAACCAGCTCTATATAACTTTTTGAAATCCTTGTTAAAATGGATTAAAAATATAATTTCATCTTTAATTCCTGGCATATTTCAGAAGGTCTCTTAACATATTTAGTGTTTTTTTTGTTCAACTTCAGAGTTTCACCTCTGAAACTAAGTCTTGGAGACATTTAGGGGAATACCCATGTTAAAGTTTAATTTAGCAGAAATGTATTACTTATATTGTTTTTGCAGGGCAGTTAAGGTATTTGAAGTTTGTTAATGTTCTAGTCTAGTGTTTAGGCACCATTGTTTCATTGAACTAATATTGTAGAGTAAAACTATTATAATGTTTTATTATTATCTGAAATCCTGTAGTAGATATAGTTGATATTAGATTCAACAGACTCATGTAAATCTGTGCTACACTTCCATGGAGGTCATCTTAATTATGTTCAATTGTTTTTTTAAATATTTCATAATCAAAGTTTCCTACTGTTTAAAATACTTTGCACTTAAATATATAAAATAGTATACATCTGAGGGTGGGTGGATGGGTTGTTTGTTTACAGGCAGTGACTTAATCATTGCAAAATTCTGAAATGTAGGCTAATATCTCCCACTTTACAGGTGTGGGAAATGGAAGCACTGCAAGATTAAACAATTTGGCAGAAGTCACATAAGAAGCCTATGATAGAACTAGGAATTTAGAACTGTTTGAAAAATGACAAAAAAAATTAAAAACTGTACATAAAGTTTCTGGGAAATGTTTCAATTTTGCATCACTTTCAGATGGCTTGAAATTTTCTGACTAGCTTTACTAGAAATAGAACATACGTCTCTTGGTCTTGTGCCTGACCTACAAGATCATCTTCCTTATAACAACTTCCAGGGTAGATAAAATTTGAATCTGTATGTGTGGCTTCATCATTTATTTGGAGGAAATGGTTTCTTGCACATGTTGTCAACAACCATTTAATATAATTTAAAGTGTGGCAAATTGCCTTAAGTTGTTGTATCAGATATGTTGAAAGTAGTGTTAGAATAATTTCGTTTTTCTCTGCATGTGACTGACTTCAACCAAGAAATAAGTAACTTTTGTTGTATGCAAATAGATTTACAGGCAACCCTTTCTGCAATCCTGAAATATTATAATTTTATTTTCTTTCTCTTTTCTTCTAGGTCTACCCTGGGTTGATGGTGACAGCAGGCCTTATACATTGGATTTTAAATATGCTAAATGTCACAGTCCACATAAGAGATGTATGTGTATTCCTAGCACCAGTTTTTAGCGGCCTTACATCTATTTCTACTTTTCTGCTCACCAGAGAACTGTGGAACCAAGGAGCAGGGCTTTTAGCTGCCTGTTTTATTGCTATAGTTCCAGGTTACATATCTCGATCAGTAGCAGGATCCTTTGACAATGAAGGCATAGCCATTTTTGCACTGCAGTTCACGTACTATTTGTGGGTAAGTAATTGCTCGGATTCACTATTTTTTTTTTCTATTCTCCTGACCTTACTCCTGGCCTTTGCCTTAGGATCTAATTTTGGATCCTTAGAATTTTTTTCTTCCTTCTATAATTCTCATTGCCTTCTAGAATAGGTTTAGAGAAAGATTGGATAGGCACCCAAAAGTAACATATGAACATCTGCCATACTGTTGCTCCTCAGTTTGTTAAATCAGCCTGTCATGCTACTTTTCAAGGGATGTTCTCTAACAATAAGGGGTTTACATTTTCAGCTCAAACAGTGGTTTTCTTGTATTTGATTCTGTGGCTATGTGTGAAGTGATGAAAATACAGTTAGGCTAGCATTTTTCAAACTGTCTGCTTGCTAGCATGGCTTGAACACATTCCTGTATCATTACATGACAAAAAGAGGCAGGGGCAGAATTAAGCTACTGGGTTTTTCTGGACTATTGTAAGTAATCTGAGAAGTTCTGCATAGCAAATACAACTGAACAAAAATTAGACAATGTGGGGCAGAGCCAGACAAACAGGGTCCACATTAATAGCCGTGTGCTTTTGATACAGCACAAATATTGTTCTTGTCTCACATGCAATTAAACCACAGCTAAACAGAATCATTATATTTTATAAAGCATTGTATTGTATTGGAGAGTGGTTCAGCGGATACCTTACTGAGTTAATTCAGCCACTCTGCTTTGGGGCATGAAAATAGTCAGTGGTTATTGTGATTCACACAATTCACAATTGCTATTATGTAAATGAAAGTCTTTATGTACTACAGAATAAACAGAACAAAATAGGAGAGTAGTGTTTTATTGTATGTTGGAGGGACACTTTGAGGGTTGTATATCCATCAACTAAATTACAACTCAGTGTGCAGTTTAATTCAACAATATAGTGTACATTTTGTTATAGTATAGAAATGAGAACACACAATTTCAAGATATAGAATATCACAGAATCTATTGCCCTAGAACTATTTCCTGTCCAATTGTTCAGGCATCATGAAAAATTGCTAAAAAGTACTGTTGCCCCCAAAGAGAGAGAGAGAGAGAGAAATTTAAAGGAAATTATCCCCTAATTTTTTTTGTTAATTTTGAAACATTTAACGTTTTTTGATTGTCTGTTAGCAGTAGAACCAAAGTTACTAACTTATCATAGCTTTGAACAATAGAAGTAGTGCCTTAACAGTAGAAGGGAAAGCCCCATCCCTTTTTAGATTTGAGAATATGTAACCTGTATCTGTAAATTCAAATTCAGATTGTTAATACTAGCTTTAGTCATTGCATTAACAAATCCACAGGATTGCTTTGTGGGTCTCAAACTTAAATGCTTACTTTCATATCTCCATGAAGCTTACTTACACAAAGTATCTTTAATTTCTGCATCAGAGATGACCATTACCAGTATAAAGTTCTGCTAGTTCATCGTTTTATGCCTTAACATGTATGTCTTGAAACCCAGACCTAATGACTTTCCTAAAGGAATGGCTGCTGCAATGGTATAGCTGAAGAGGCTAGAGGCTATGAAACAGATTTCAAAGTAGCAAGCACTTCAACACACCAAGTAGGACCTCAACATGGTCCTTGCTGCTTGTCCTTCTCAAAGTCTGACTTCTTAGCTTCCTAAGATGCAGTTTTTGGCAGATCTGTCCTAAAAGAAGTAATTTGTTACAATATCGCATATATCTGCTGCCGCTCTGGATTGGTTATATTTCTGTTTATGTAAAATAGAGATTATTAGACAAATCCTCTCCATAACAAGTTGGTGTCAAGGAATACAGAAACACAGCTTGTACCTGTAATTCATTTTGTGCTTCCGAATATACCGTACTCTTGATTGACCCCAGCAGAGTGGCAATACAAAATTCTTATTGTTACTGGTATTACAAGTACAGGTTTATGGCTGGAGATCATTAGTTTGTTTTTCCGGTGTTTCCCCTAAGTTTCTATTATACTGGATGGTCTACTTTTGTTAAACAGTTCCTTACTATATACATTTCTACCTCGATATAACGCTGTCCTCGGGAGCCAAAAAATCATACCACGTTATAGGTGAAACCGCGTTATATCGAACTTGGTTGGATCCACCGGAGTGCGCAGCCTCGCCCTCTTCTCCCCCCCCCTCCCCCCGGAGCATTACATCCAAATTCGTGTTATATCGGGTCGCGTTATACCGGGGTAGAGGTGTATTACACGTCTTTCTATTTGTGAAGTATTTGAAACTTGGGCTGCATTATGCTGTGGGAGGAATCCAGGAAGTTGTTTGGCCAACTGTTGCTGAATTGGGAGGTCCAGGAAGATGCATGATCAGTATCTGATAACCCAAAACAAAATTGCAGTTGTAAACTTTTATTTTTCATGGTTGTTCAGATGTATATAGAATTAACCTGTGCTGTTACTTGAAAATAAGTGGGATATGGTGGTGGTGTCTGTTGTATTGTAAGTCATATTTAACTGAGGTCTATGTCTAATCCTGTTGTGTCTGCATAAATTGTTGTAGAATTGCAACAGAAATGAAAATTTAATTTAATTATTAAAAAAAAACCTATCTCTTGTTCTTATCAACTTCCAAAATGTGAACGAGATAGAAATAGGTAACAGTGATGTCTGCCTGAGTCTGCAGACAGCCAGAAAACTAGTTCTGTGAGATGTAAATTGATTCTATTAGTTTTGAAGTCTAATTACAATTTAAATGTCAACAATAAGGACTTATCTACATGGTAAAATTTCCTGGAATAATTATTCTGCTATTCTTAACCCAGTCAGAATAATTACTTTTTCTTTTGAAGAAAAGTAATTATTTTTATTCTGGAATAGTGTCCACACAATGGCTTATACCTGCATAACTGTAGTGGAATAATTATTCTGCCCTAGCTATGTTGGGAAATTTCCCCATGTAGACAAGCCATAAGTCATTGTTGATGATCTTAGTACAAACAGTAGGCTGACTTCTTTTTGTTATTGTTGAAGTAGTCAATATTGTGGCAGCCTGCAGTGAGGACGTACTTGCTCCCAACCATTGCTGGGGGTAAGGAACAAAAGTTCACTCATCTCTCCCCAAACTTAGTCAATCTGTATTCTTACTCATAAGGGAGAGGGAAAGAGGAGGTGTAGCACCAAAACACAAAATCATCTTTCGCACCTTCATGAGCCGAAACCCCAGCTATTCTTTATCTCCTGTCAAAACGTCCAGCTTTACCCAACACCCAGCAGTGTAATAATTCATCAAAACGAAAATCTACACAATGTTGACAATCTTAAATTTGGAAGTACAGAAAAATATGTAGTTATTTATCAAAGTAAATAATAAAGACTACTGGACTTGTAAAGCGCTGGTAATCCACAACTGAGGTTTAATGTATTATAAAGGATACAGAGCCTTCCCACCAACCCCTAAAAAGGAATCGATCAGTAGTTGTTACCATAGATTCAAAATATTATATTGTATTAAGAAATATTTTGTTTGACAGCCCAACAAATTGTCATGGACTCTCACAGTCAAAATGGGTTCTTAACATCTAGCACATCATCTGTAAATCGGATCATACTCTCAACACCTGTGGAACCCCATAGTCTTCAGCTTATGCCTTCAGTGATACCTGATATTCCTACTACCCTTAAGTGGGTTTTCAAAGTTATTTTTCAGAATAGAACAGCACTTACCCTAATAATATGATACAAGGACTGACAGAGCAGCGGTGGTGAGAGTTGTGATGGTCATCATCCAGTGGAGTGGCCATATGCTCTATGTTTACACCAATCTTCAAGTAGCACAAAGATGCTGCAACTACTATTCTGCCTCAGAGGTTGAAGTATTTAGTGCAGTGGTTCTCAACCTGTAGCCCGCAGACCGCTTGCAGCCCAGTCAGCACACACCTCAGGGCCATTTAGGTAGCATATATATTTTGTGGATGCAGCCCACATAACACACCAAGAGCTGCCTATGCGGACCCACAATGGTAAATAGGATGAGAACCACTGAACTAGTGTGTCATGTCCTAGTACCAATTTGAGTGAAAAGTTGGATATAGGCTATTATGGTTGATTGGCCTTATGCAGGTGAACCGAATTGCACTGTTGCTTTATTTTATGGAAGATGTCTTTCTGAACTACATCCATGAATTTTGAAGGTGGGCAGTTAAATTCCTAAAACACAAACTGATCATGGGAGTCTTTTTGCTTTAACCCATACTTTTCATAAAAAGGTACATTTTTTTGGCTTGGGTGACAGAATTTTGTAATGCTATTTTTAATTGCTTTGTCTAATATTGTAACTTGTAATTCTTGAATACTTGATTTTTTTCTTTTTTTTAAAGGTGAAGTCTGTGAAAACTGGGTCAGTCTTTTGGACAATATGCTGCTGTCTATCTTACTTTTATATGGTAAGCCTTTTATTTGTACGTAAACTAAACTGTTTCTGTTCAATCTAGTTGAATGGAAATAAGTTTTGGTTTTGTATTTTTTAAATTAACTTACAGCTGCTTCTGCTGGCCTAATTAAGTCAAAGAAGAGGGCAGATGTTTACTTTTCTGCTCAGAGCCTTTTGTAAAGATTTGTGTTCTCCAGGAAATAAATTTTCCCTTGTATGAATAGGCCAGGAATTTTGGAATGGAGCAGACAGATTCCTTTGGTGATGGAGTTGGTGGGGGCTCAAAATGAGTAGAGATGATCTGACAATAGAAGAGAGAATCTCATTTGGAGTGAATTGGTGGATCTTGGGTGGATGGCCGCAGTAAAAGTGGGGCTAAGTGTATCTAGTTTATCAAAGAGAAGTTTAAGACGTGATTTGATGACCACCTGAAGTTTGTACACTGGGAGAAGGTAACTGTATACTAGAAGGTTAATTGATGTAGCAAACAAAAGCATATAACAGGATCTAATGGCTGGAAGTTGAAGCTAGAAAAAATTAAAGCTGGAAATAAGGTACAAATTTTTATGTGAGAATAATTAACCATTAGCCTAGCAAAGCTTACCAAGGGATATGATCTTCCATCACTTGAAGTCTTTAAACTAAGACTGCATGTCTATTTAAAAGAAATGCTTTAGTTGAACTACAAGTTGTTGATTCAGTGCAGGAATTACTGGTGAAATTCAAGAAGCTGTGTTATGCAAGAGGTCTAATGAGATGATCATAGTGGTCCTTTTTGGCCTTAAAATCTATGAATCTGTGAAAATGGGAATTTCTGCAAGATGTGGGGGGAATCAGAAGAAAGTCTGTCAGCAAAAAGTTCTTTTGTACTGACCTTTTTATGAAATGGGTTGACTCGAGTGGGACAAGATTTTGTGGTGGGAAGGATTTCTTGGAGAATGATGGATAAATTCCTCCAGGTAGAATAGGGTGGGAATGGGAGCCTGGTGGGGGGGAGGGGGATGTTGATTGGAAAAATTATTTATGTAGTGCTAGAGATGTACATAGCAGCTCAAGCTTATACAAAAGGGTCTCTGTCCAGAGGAGCTTATATTTTAAACTAAAGAATACTAAAATAGCAGTAGGATTGTGATTGGGATTTGTGTGTGAATACAGTATCTAGGGTCACTCCTGGGGGCATTCTGTGCCTAAAAATTCTGCACACAATATTTTAAAATTCTGCAAACTTTATTTGTCAAAATAATGCTACATAATCATGCCAGTTTCAATTATTTTGGTAATTTATTTCAAAATACCTGTCAGCAAGTATGTCTGTAACAATACAGACATACACAAAAATTCCCCCGGGAGTAGAGAGTTAAAGAAATCCCTATGACAACGCAGTTCCTGTTTCTCTGCCTCCCTCCTCCCCGAGCCCAGCCACAGGGCCCCCCAGCCCAGATACCTGCACGCCCTCTGCCCTCCAGAGGCCATCCGTGGGGGGCCCCCCTTGCCCAGATACCCGCACCCCCTTATCCCCGAGCCCAGCCATGGCTTCCCCAGCCCAGATACCCGTCCCCCTCCCCCTGCAGAGCCCAGGTGTCCAGAGGGAGAAACAGCCTGATGCTTAGTCCCAGGCTTGTATGGAGTTTCCTGAGTGCCGCCCTCTCCTTCCCTCAGTTGCCAGGCACCCTCTAGCTCCCTGTCTCCCCCCAGCAGTGTCTTCTATTTGTGAGCTGGGCTCTGCCGGATCCAGTGGCCCTTAGTGGCAGCCAGCAGTACTGCAGCCCATTTCTGTGGGGGAAAGGAAATTCTGCATGCACAATGTTAATTTCTGCAAAATTCTGCATTGTGCAGTAGCGCAGAATTCCCCCAGGAGTATAGGGTGCAACCTAAACCCCTTTTAACACCCCCTCCCCCCCCAACTGAATCCTGGCTGTAAGCCTTTTCTTTTACATCACATTGTCCTCTAAAGCACATGTATTTCATTTTATGGTAGAGTGGTTGTGAAACCATGCATAAGGGTGTGTTACATATTTCTGTTTTGATATACTGTCATGTACAAATTAGACCTGAGTTTGTTATGCTAGTATAGTATAGCCTTTCTACTACACCCACATATTCTGGTGGGAGATCCTTTTAAAAATGACCATTTGCAAAATTCAGTCAAATAACAAAAGAAGATGGTAATGCATTTTTACTGCTGGAAATCATGAGGGAGATTCTGAGATTCATGATGAGATTCTGCCACTTATCTGTTGAGTAGCATCTTTGGGTCAGACACACATTAGAGGGGGGAAAAAAGGACTGTGTGCAAAACAAAGTATCAGAATCCCTGGCTATATCTACCCCTCAATGTCACAATGCCTGAGTTGAACTAGAGGGTATATTGCATATTTTTCCTTTGTTTTAAGGGACAGAGTAAACTAATTAAGTGCTAAAATTTGGCCAGGGTTTAAGATTAATAGTAAGAATAAAGTTCCTTCATTTTCAGGGAAGGTACTTGCATTATCTCTTGTGATTCTTTGCAATATAGCTGTTCCATTTGTGGAAGAATTAATGAGACCTTTAGTTGCTGCTGAGGTTTTAATCAAGTTCCTTATATGCGTTTTTTCCCAGATCAGTCTTTAGGACTGGACATAAATGTATCCTCCAACGTAATATTATCTTTCTAATGAAATCAGTGTTCTTTAAACTATTAGCTGAGAATTAAATGGTAAAAATTGCAATTTTGGGGTAGTAAACTTCATTCTGCATTGCAAAAATCAAAGAAGTAGCTCATTTGAAAAGAGGAATAGCTACTACATTGACTGAAAAGTTATGCATGTATTTGCAAACTGTCTGGCGATATTTATCTCAATTAAAGTTTACGTACTGACTAGCTCACTGTTAATGTGACCCACAGAATTGTCTTTAAAAAAGTAACTTTTCTAATTCTTGCTCTCAAGCTCCATTATTATTATTTGTATTTATTATTAGCATTTATTTAATACCCATCACTATGGCTTAGGATGTCTTTCCATAGTGATGACCATGTTTTTAAATACCAAGTTTTGCGTTGAGACAGTCTTAATCAGGCGTGCTCTCCTGCTGCCTGTGGCTTTACCGCTCCACTAGGAATCCAGGGTTTAATTAGAGAAAGACTGGGCAAAGAGGTACATCTTGAGCTCTTTTTTAAGTGAACATAATTGGGGTTTTAACTATCTTTCCTTAGACAGCAAATTTTAGAGGCACAAGCTAATTGAGAGAGCTTTGCCACCAGCATTCGCAAACCTTCACCTTTATAGCTGTTATGATCTTCAATCATGCACATGTTCTCCCTCCACTCCACACCAGTTATCATTTAAAAAGTCTCATATAAAGCCTATGTTGGAATAAAGAAATGTTTTGTGAATGTAATGATACTGCTGTGTTAATAAGTAGTACATAAATAGAATCTGATAATTTACAGCTCTTTCTCAAGTTATATTTAAATTATCTAATTTACAGTTTAATTTCCCATAGGTCTCTGCATGGGGTGGTTATGTTTTCATCATCAACCTTATTCCACTGCATGTGTTTGTGCTGCTGTTGATGCAGAGATATAGCCGGAGGGTCTACATAGGTGAGTGTCCTGACTCTCTAAAAATCAGTTATTTGAGAAGTGGTTTCTATTCTCTTCTTACTGAACAGTCAGTTCTATTTGGGAGGCATTAAATCCAGGAATGTGAAATTAATAACTTAACTACATCTTTTACGCTAAATGGGAAATTAATAATTGCATATCAAGTCTTATATTAGTCATGTGCTGTATACCCATTAGCTTATTGTTTACAAAATAAAAAAGATAAGGATGTGATACATGTTTAGTTCATGTTGTTTCTAAACTCTCAAGTGTTATTTCCTAGCTAGTTTTTTTTTCCTTTTAGTATTCCATGTGGGAAGGGGAAATTCACTGAATCTTCACTCAGTTGTTTAATATTTTTAAAATTCTTTAATGCACAGGTTTCATATGTCTGTACTTTTTGTATGATTTAATTGCAGCTTTATAAAAGCTATCCAGCAAAAAAATGAAAACCCCATCTATAATATGCTGTCTCACATAACGAGAGACAGAGCAGCATTCCACACAAGTGTCTGTTCAAATAAAATGTTGTGTATTGCCAAGACTTTCAAAAGTGACCAATGATTTTTAGCTGCTCAACTTAACACACCTTAAAGGGACCTAATCTTTAACAAGTATTGAGCATCTACTTTCTGACAATAAGGACCCTTAAGGTAGCTCAAATTGGGCACATAAAATGGAAAAGGAACTGAAATGGACCCATTATAAAATATAGGAAAAGCTGTCTCCCATATACAAACTTCACATAGAAGCCATTTTTTTCTTTTATTAAACTTGGGATAATTTTTGTTTATCAGCAAATTTAAGATCTAAAGAGCAGTTTAGAGTGGGGATGAGGGTAGAAGCTCCCTGTGAATGGGGTGGGTGGAGGAAAAGCAAGGAAAAGCTACTGTGACTGGGGGAAACAGCCAGCTACAGACTCAGAAGGAGTATCCTGGTAGTTCCTACTGTGATTCCTATGGCACTTCCTTGCCCACTGACTGCTGTGCTCCACATAACCCTCCTCCCCCCCCCCCC